AGCCTCAGGTTGGCAAGCAAAACAGCCGTGACCAACGGGAAACACGCTCGGCCCAAGAAACGGAAATGGACCGCTTGCATTAACTTCAGGAGGCTGAAGGCTCCGGCTATGGTAAAACAGGAGAACGCTTACTTACAGACTACTCAGTGGCTAATAAAAGAAGAAACAGTAAAGTCGAGGGATAGCGAGCTTGAAACAACAGATCATTCAATTTTCAATTTAAAAAAAAACTTTGCTTACCCGGCGAGGTCTCTTGATCATTGGTCTCAGTCTGGGCATTCTTGCGTTTAGAAGCTGCAGTTCTCGTGGGTCTACCCCCCGCCTTCTGGCCGTCCTTTGAGGCCTTGCAGACGCAGATTAAGGCAGAGAAAAAGAGGGTGGTTTGGCATACGGCGCAAACACGCTCGTCATCCACCAGCTCATCCAGTCGCTCACGCTCACTGCGCAGACCTGCGAGACGAGTACGATGAGCAACCTCGCGTTCCAGCACGGCAGCAAACTCCTCATGGATGATGCTCAGAGCGTTGATGTCAAATCCAGTAGATTTGGTGCTGCGGAAACGCTCAGCAGTGAGGTCAGTCCACATAGCGGCCTGCTCCATAGGGCGGATGCCAGCAGCTACTTCCGCCAGTGTAAGGAGAAGCTCATCATTGGAGAAGACACACTGGCGCTTAACGGAGGCGTAGTGCTCTATGCAGGCACGACCAATGGGAAGCTGAAGATAAGAAGACAACTGTTATTCGCATGGAGTATCTAAAAGTATTTTTTTAAACCGGTCAAAGATACAGCGAATGTCCTTATATGCACGAGGAACCGGGGGGGATTATGCGACAGCGGGATTTGGCACACCCAATATATACCGCCCCACAGCCTTTATTGTGTGAATAAAGTACTCACCAATGCTGAGTAATAAAAAGCGGTGGCTAGCCAGTTACGTTTGCCTGGATGCACGCTATCATACGAGAAATGAGTCAGTAGATCGGAAAGCCTAGATGGGCGCTGCGATTATGGCTTACTGTGTTCAGTAAATGACCACGTTATTGCTTGCAACTCCTCACAGCTACTTCAAATGCAGTATCTTCTCACCCGTGTGATTTATCTGCCTTAAACAGTGTTTTTTGGAAGATTCCGTGTGGTTCTGTATCTGGAGCCGATGCACCTCTCCTTAAGCGACCTTGACATCTCGCCCTTCGAGACGAGTTTCATGTCGACGTCATGCTTAGTATAGACACCCGATCAACGGGATGGAACTCCTGGATTCATTAACTTTTACCCCCGCTTCCAAGAATCTGATTTACAGGGACACGCTATTAGGCTTCGTTGGGTTACGCAGCAATTTTCCGATCCAATGTACAGTAAGTACAGACGTAGATTACCCATGGATAGAATATAGGTACTCGCGGACAGCTCATGACGGCGCGGGCGATAGGGTCCTGAAGAAGAGTAGAGAAAATCCCCCTGATCAATCGAAGTAAATCTTCACGCACAAACAGACACCCTGGCCGATGAGACTGTCCCTAATAATATCAGATAGTATCGCAGCCGAACAAAGT